TGTCCTTTTGCTTCTATCCTGTGAATGAAAATAACTACTTTCATTCAAACTTAAATAAAGAAAATGCAGAATTGGGGACTAACCATGAGATTGTGTTGTGTGTTTCAAAAGTAGGTGCTTTGGTAACTATTCACTTGGACTACTAACCAAGTTAAGAATCATATTCATAAAAACATTAGCACACATATGTCCTTAACATCATCCTTTTGTTTTTTTCCCTGTGAAAGATAGGTGGACCTATTTGTCTCTTATTCTCATTCAAATCTGCTGATTCCGTTGATTGTATCACTTTCTTTTTTTTTTTTTTTTCAAATTTATCTTCATATACCAATTCATATGAATTCTTATTTTTCCTTTGCTTACAGTATATGCATTGGAAGTATGTTTGTTTGCTATTTTAGGGGAAATAGTTCATTTGCATCAAATTATGTTAGGGAGTATGTGTTATTATAAAAATGATTTCGTTTCTCTAAGATTAAAAATCCTCATTTGTCCAGTTATAAGACACCAAATTGAGAGGTAATAGGTGAGTTTGTTTTAACTATTTCCTCATTCAATATGTAAAACATAATTAAATAACGAATATTATATATAGTAAAATAAGAGAGTATGAAACCCCTATTCACTTTGCCATGTTTTCTGTTCTCAATCGCAACCTAAATTTCATGAAGATATACTTCGAAACAGAAATCAAACAAACCTAGGTGCAACATAAAGAAGAATATCACAAATGGGATATGAATTACAACATAAATCACACTCAGGAATCTGAAAAAGGGTAGGTAGATGGAAAGAACATACCTGCGATGGTATTTACGCTGAAGCCAAAGCTGACCTGATAAAGAGAGAAGCGAATAGTCATTTGAACTCTGGTGAAGGTGAAAAAAATCCTAATAGAGAAAACTCTAATGAAGGAAGAAATGAAAAATCGAGTGAACAAAATCCAAAAGGAGATATTTCACATGAAGCCGAACAGTTTCAGATAAATAAGAAATCACAACGAATAAATTGTAATTGGAAGTAGGACGGAATTATAATACCTGCGATGAGCAAAGAAGGAAAGAGTTGTTGATGAGCGAGGATGATGAAGATAATGGGGTGTGGGGACGATGAAGATGATGGGGTGTGGAGACGATGAAGATGATAGAGTGTAGGGCTGAGAATCCTGAGTTGGTCTGGGATAAGAGGAATGAACGATCTGAAAGCGGTGGAGCTTTTTGGACTGTGCGACTGAGCGGGAAAAATGAAGTTTTACAAAGTAGGACAATTATGTAGAAGGATTAAAACTACCTATGTTCTACAGCTCACAATACTTACTCAGAATAAGAAAAAGGCACCAGAAGCTAAGATGAATAATCAAGGACACTCTAATTAGATGTTGTAGAAAGTAACACTCACCACATTGGCACATTCCGTAATATGAAAAATTGCAAACAGTTTAACAATTACAAAAAAATCAATTACAAAAAAGAACAAAATTGATTAATAACAGCAAAGAAAATTCATGTACTTGATGAAGATCGAAAAGGAAGATTGCTGAATCATAAAAGGAATATACTCACCACCTTCATTCCCGTAGTTCATAGTTACAATCTCAAAAGTGGTAGAAGGAAATAAGAAGATAACACTTTTGACTTATGAAGGTTAGTTTCAGCAGAGTACACATATCATCATCATCATCATCATTACCCCAGTGCCGCAAAGGCTCCCACCTACAGTGGGGTAAGGGGGTCAGATGTACGTAGCCTTACCCCTATACTAAAGCACAGAGAGACTGTTTCCGGATGACCCAAGGAGCAGAGTACACATAATGAGGAATAAATTATATTTAAAACAAATAAATGGGGAAAGAAAAAATCAAGAGTCAAATGCAAGAAACTTGATACAACAAACATACCATGAATATTATTTGTTAGAAAGAAAGAAAGTAAATACCATCTTCAGGATTTGAGTGAGAAGGAAGACTCACTACTATGCATTGAGACTCCTGTTGTAAGCACCATTGTGATATCCTTTCATAAAACAATTGTTGGTGTTTGATATGCAAGAGTTTGTTGCAGGCAAAATGGAAATGAAACATTACATACCCTAAAAAGTATAACAGATACATTCCTATCATTACAACAAAAGAAAATTCACTTTTCAAGTTCAAATACAAAATAGTAGTCTGTCATTTTTTTTTAAAGTATTAGTGTATTACTGTTTGTTAAGAGGGAGAGGGTCCACTTTCACAACTGTATACTGTATAGCAATTAACTACTTTCTTCTTCACAATAAAATTCTCACTTCAGTTCTTGATCATTGATTGAGAATAATATTCACTTTTCATGATCAAACATATAGTGATAGCCTATCATGAAATTTTCTGCAAAAGTATTAGTGTTTGTAATTAATATAAAGTTATTTAATCCATATAGACAGTAGACACAACAGTTGAATAGTAGTAGGTATATACATATAGTCACTAACATTATTAACACATACACCTGTCTGTGTTCTGTGAAGTTTTGATCAAACGGTGTAATTGTCTATATTCCTGTTACTTACTGGTAAGGAAAATATCTACCTGAAGATTAGAAAATAATTCCAAATATTCAAGGAGCTCCCAATAAAGTTGATGTTGTTAAACATATTTTGGAAGAAAAAAATCTTTCAGGGATGATGAGAATCGAAAAATCCCTAAGCAATTCTTAATAGCAATCGTGATTAAATCATAGAATAATGAAATTGAGAAAATAGAATTGATAGATTTAATTAATAAAAAAAGATTAATTATTAATAAATCATTAAAAATAGGAGCATTACCTCATCAACCGTGTGCAGGGTCCAGAGATGAGAATTGTATTTCGTCCCTCATCTTCATCAGTCAATTGGTCAACACAGATTATGACATCTGTGTTTCTAGAGCAAATTCGCCCCCTACTTCAGCGATTTCACCCCCTCTTCCTCAAGTCGATTTGTTAGTGTGAAGGAGGGCATGAGTTAGCCTTTATAGATTAGGGAAATCGGATTTAGGAAACCGGAGAAGAGGTGGCCAGACCTAAGCTTTTCTAGCTCGGTGAAGGGGGGTGTTTCTGTGATGAGTCAAGATTTCTAATGGGAGAGGCTAATGAATGTTTCGAATGGAAATTGAAATGGAGAAAGCCAGAGATGTTTCTGTGAGGAAGAGAGATGAGAAGCCATAGATCTGTCCTCCTCTGCATCGATTCATTTGCTCTGTGTGAAGAGGAGTGGGAGGGATGAGAGAAGTGAGGAATTCTATGAGGGGGAACCGAGAGAAGGCTTCGATCTGATGAAGTCAATCGTAAGGCGAATAGCGAAATGCTTTGAGCGGAAAGGTAAAGAGCCGAAATATGTTGGGCGGGAAAATGCTTTGGCATAAAGTATTGCAATTATGTAGAATGATTAGTCCACTCGACGGTATTTAAGTTTAGTATAATTACTTTTTTAGTTCAATCCGCTTGGCCTTGGTAGGAATGGTAGCTATCAAGCTATGTTTGCCTGTAGGTTGTTAAGTGTTAACCTTGGTGTTATGACTTGGGAGCGATAACGGGTGAAAAAGAAAAGCAATAGGTGAAAATAAATTTGGGATTCTAAATTTCTAATTATAAATCATATGTACTTGTTTGCTTTATTAACACCATGGTTAAGAATTGAGGAAGTATATTGAGAAGTGGAAGTTACCGTTCTTGCATTGTGGAACAGTGGTTATTTAATTTCCCATATTTCAACAACGTTTTTTTTTTGTTTTTCAAAATTTGTTGATTCTTTTGATTTTGTAATAATTAACTTATTATGTTTCATTTATTAAATTTATTTTACAATTTTCAGTTTTAAGAATATGAGCCCGTTTGGTTAGGGGTGGGCAAACAGGTCTTGGAACCGCAGTCCGGTCCGGGTAATGGTGGTTCGGGTCCAAAATGGGTCGGTTCCATTTTTTGTTGCCATAAAACGGTCCGGGTAGGGTCGGGTAATTTTTTTTAAGGAACCGGACCGGTTCCAAATTTAAAAAATAACGGGTACCCGGCCCGGCCCGTTATATATATTGTATATTAATTTATTAATAGTTTTTTTATAATCGGTTTTGAAATAGTTTTGTTTCCTTTGCTAGAAGCCTAGAAGGATTTTAAATTGAGTTGCAGTAACATCCTTTTGTTTTCAAATTATTGATTAAATATTTCATAAATATCTTATTACTTTTTATTGTTATTGAATTATTCCTTTCTATGGAATTTAATTATTTGTTAAAAATGATTTTGTTATTTTTAATTTTATATATATATATATATATATATATATATATATATATATAAATTGTGTTTACCACCCACCATGTATGTGTCAACTTTGGCTAATACTGAAAATTAATATAAAAAAAAGCAATCACTTTAATATGTGATGTTAGACAACATGTTTAAATACAAATGTTAGAAAATATGTATTTTGGCTATGTTGCATACTTTTGGAATTTCTTTAATTGTTTGAAACTTATATACATGAAATTGTGGAGTATTGACTTGTCGCTTGTGTTACATGTACACCACTATGTTGTTATTTTAAAACTTGTTAATGTCCTATATTAGTCATTATTGATTTTTGGAACTTCGTGAGTTTTTACTAATTTTAAGACATGAGAATAGAAACCGTAAAACCCAGACCGACCCGTTTCAAACGGGCCGGGTAATTTCTGATTCCTATTTTGAAAATTGTAATACCCGGACCGGACCGAACCGTACAATGGAACCGGCGGTTCCATTTTATTTTGCATTACCCGCCCCGACCCGGCCCGTGCCCAGCCCTACGTTTGGTGGCACAAAAATCAGCTAATTTGGCTGATTCTGCTGAAATTTATGAAGTTCTGGTTGAAGTAGCTGCATTGGCTGATTCTGCTGATTTAAGAAAAAAAAATTAAAATATATTTTATTAATAAAATAAAGAAAAAACTATATTTAAAAATAGCTAAAATGGTCATCTACTGTAACTTCAGTCAATACAGCCAGAAAATAACTTCAATCTTACTTTTTCTGCTTATTACACAATTCAGCACGCGAAAGCAAAAGTTACGTGTTTGGTGAAAAAGTTGGCTGATAAGCCAGATAAGCCGAAAAACAGTGTTACCAATTCTGCTTATGTTTCTTCTTTTGCGGAAAAATCCCTAGTGCAGCGATGGTATGGTCGGCAACGCGTCTCTGGCCTGCCGTCTTCGGCTTGTTGGGGGTTGGCATCAGTCTTCGGCTTCGCTGGTTCGTGTTTGTTTCATTTACACCGAGTTTTTGTCCAGCATTCCTTTTTTCGTGTGGTCCTGTGCGCTCCCTGTGAGCATTTTTCTTACTTTCAATTTTGTTTTGGACCTTTGTTCTATGACTATTTCGGACTCCTTGTCTCCTTATGGATTCCCTAGTTAAGAAACGACAGGAGGGGGAGGATGATGTGGGGTTGCAAAGGTTCTCAGCAAAGGTTCTCAGCAAAGGCAAGAGTGGTAACGTATAAACCAATCCGCCCAATCTCATTCAGTCATTCAGCAAAACCTTCGCAAAACTGAATACAAAGAAAACTGGTCATTGTAGCCAAGGTTTTAAATAGCCGTAGTGGCAGCGGTAGCGGTAGCGGTAGCGGCCTGTAGCGGCCTGTAGCCGACTGTAGCGATTGCAGCGGCGTGAAATATTTTCAATTGCGCAAAACATATATTTAATGAGTGTTGTAGTTAATACAAACATTGTGAATATTTGTTTGGACACTTATAACATTAAGAGTTCATTTACACAACATAGACACATTTACACATCAACTCGTTCGTGACATACTGCCGGAAATGTCGATAGCGGCCTGTAACAGGATTTTCCCGTGATTTAGAATTCACAGCGGAATAGCGGGCCGTAGCGGTAGCGGACCGCTATTTAAAACCCTGATTGTAGCCAGGTCACTAGGCCGATGCAAAGAATATTTTTGAAAAATATTCTACACATAATTTTTACACTAAAAATATAGACATTTTTAAAGTTGGGTTGGGCCAGGGCTAGGGCTGGCCCTCCCCTAGCTACGCCCATGGAGGTTACGACAGACTGACATGCCTCTCGAGGTGTCTCTGGATCATGTTGAATTTTGGGTGCTAAGTTCGCAATTTTCTTTTGGGTTACATGATGATAAAAGCTACACATAGTATTGGAAATAATATAGAGTCTCTAGTCAAGATTGATGAGTGCACACTCAGGGGAAGTGGCGGTCAATACTAGGAATAAGGGTGATCATAAATATAAAAATGCTTGATTAGAAGATTGTGGGTGAGGTAGGAAGATTATAATTAGATATGGGCCGATTTTAGGTATGAGAGGCTTCGAAATTTTTGCCTTTTATGTGGGATCCTATGGACATACAGACAGATTTTGTCCTTGGAGCACTCGCTTTGGACCTTTGATTGGAGAGAAGTTGTATGGGGTCTGGCTACATGCAGATATGAGAAGAGGGGTATCCATCCAGGGAATAGGTGATTGATCCCAAGTGGAAGCAGAACAACCACAAAACAAGAGGATCCAGACAAGTTGAACATTTCGCCCAAGGTTATCTTGAAAGATGCAGGGAGTTATATGGTTGAAGGTCTTTTCTACAGGGACAAGGCAAAAGTTGAAGGTCAAGAAGATGAACCAAGAAAGCGTAGAGTGATAGACTGACAAAGGGAGAAGACATCCAAGCAGGATTTAATAGGGTTGTAAACGAATCAAATAATTTGTGCTCGATTCGTGATTCGAATTCGTATAAGACAATTTGAATTCGGAAAATTCAAATACAAATACAAATAAGAATATTAAATTTGATTCGAGTTGTTATCAAATACAAATAACAATATCAGTGTATTCGATTCGAATATTAATCAAATATATTCGATTAATAGTAGTAGTAATCTTAATAATAATATTAATAATAGTAGTAGTAACACTATAATAACTTTTAAAAGATAGCAATACTCACAAAGTATAGACCATATATATTTATGCATATTTGAAATAAATCGGAATATAAATACAAATACAAATCAATTTTTTGGTTCAAATGTCTTTCAAATACAATACAAATAATTATGTATTTGATTTGAAGAATAAAATTAGAGTTGTTTGACTTTAATATATACAATTATCAACTTATTTCACACATTATAAGTATAATTTTTAATATATACTATCGTATGTGTTAGTGTGTACTTCAAAAAGTTTGAAATAGATTTATATTTACTAATCATTATATTGTGCACACTCTAAAAATACATTGATTCATTAAATTTAAATTCTAAAAACACATATTAAGTCATAGCGTGCATTTAGAACATAAAAAAATATAAGAAAAGTTATTTTAAAGTGATATTTGACTAATACTTAACATATGCTTAAATCGATTCGATATTCGTATATGATTCGTTAACTATTCGTATTGTTAAACAAATACAAATACAAATCGAAAACAATATTTGTTTCATATTTGAATTCGTATTCGTATTCGTATTCGACAAAATCAAACAAATACAAATACAAAATGTTACTATTCGACTCGATTCGGTTCGTTTACAACCCTAAGCAGGAATGGAAGTGGATGGTGAGGATCCAAAAAAAACATGAAGGTGGCGGTGCTTTCCAGGTTCAGTAATGGAGGTTTATGTGGAAGAAGTGGATAGTCGGGGTGGAGAAGGGTACACCCTAGTACTTTGGCGGGGGCTGGAAAAACAACAAATTCCTTTCCGGAGGCTGGAAAAATCGGATCTTTTTCTCTTTGTCTTTTCTTTTGTTCTCAAGACAGTTTAGTTACTTTTGATTCTCTCTTAAATAGCAAGTGCACTTATGATGTTGATAGAGTCTACATCATTAAAGGTTAGCGAAATGGATCACTAATGAGCGACTTTTTAGTTTTATGTCACACCTCATAGTAGTCTCTAGTTTGATGGCTTTCTTTCTTGTTGCCCTTATTAATAATAAGTAAGTTATCTTTTTCCAAAAAAAACATGTTGTATGTTTCTTTTCTTTTCACTTGTTATTTTTATATTCACGCGATTTTGTATTTTTCAGTTTTTTATTTTCTTAGTATTTTGACTATTTCTCATACTTTTGACATTTTTTATATAATTCCAAAACTTCTTTATTATATGAACACATATAATATATATGCTTTTATATCTTTTTCAATTTATAAACTTTCCCTTCCTTTCGTTTATATTTTACATTGTTTACAAAAGAATTTCAGTTTTTCATTTTTGAAAAACTGAATTTATGTTTAAGCTTTTCAGTTTATTTAGTATTTGGGGGGGGGGGGGGGGGGTTACTATTTATTTTTATTTTTAACATTTATTTACACTTTTCTGTTTTTAAAGTTTTTATATTAATTGTAATTTATATTTCCTTCATCCCAAATTGAGTTGCATTTTGCATATTGGTCATTTTCACTTTTAAATTTACGTGTGAATAAATCCCTTAAAATTAAACCTTTAAATTAGGTCACTAATGTTGAGGATCTATGGTTGTGTATTTTGTTAGTACGTACTAGGAGATCCCAACTTTGTAGGACTAGTTTTGACTTTTGAGCTCCCAACTATCCAATTCTAGAGGTGAGAAAAACTAAACACAATCCCAGAAATTGACCGTAGAAACCCAGAAATTGACCGTTGCCCCGAAATACGTACGTTACCAATCCGAATTTCAAAAATGCTTGAGGTACACACTTTGTGTACACACTTTGTGTACACTCGTCTGTCTCTTAAGAAAATTTTGTCTGTCACAGACAATTCATATATGAGTTGTCTGTGACAGACAAAATTTTCTTAAGAGACAGACGAATGTACACAAAATGTGTACACAAAGTGTGTACCTCTAACAAAATTCTCCGAATTTTTTTCTTTTTAGATGATCTGAATAAAAATACCCGAACAAAGTCTGAAAAGTCAGGCTCACTAACTATCCCTAAAATCTATAAATCAGTCGAACCGGTCAAAACTCGAAACAGTTATCTTTAATACAAAATTAGTACGGAGTATAATATACCAATATTATTTAAAAAATCCTAATGTATGACTTGATATTACTCCGTATTTAATAACTTTTAGCGGTTAAAACAATGCTTGTATAACATAGTGGCCATGAAAAAAAATACTCATAATTTATACTCTTATACCAGTAGTAATATTAGCTATATTTTTATAAATTTATTTAGTTATATGTTTAGAAAAACCTCTATTACTTATTTATGTGTAAATTAAACGCAATACTAGTGTTATTGTTCGTTACTTGTACTTTTGAGTTACTCCCTCCGTCCCCTTTTAAATGTCCGATTTTACCATATTGGGATGTCCCTATTTAATTGCCTCATACCTTATTTGGTAAACTTTGTGTGGCTCAACATCATTCTTACTTTATTCTTACTTTATCAATTAATATCAACCACACAAACTCACTTTTCTTAAAACCCGTGCAACCATCTCCCGTCCCATTTAAAAGGGGACGGAGGGAGTATTTTATTTGAAAGTTGAAACTAGGTTTTAAAACTAAAAAGGATGGGGTGATCATTTTTCATTTGAGCTTTAACCCGGTTCTACACTTCTACCCGAACTCAGGCAACCAAAAACCCTACTCGGACCGAACTTAGTATACCTTATTTCGGTCCATAATTTTCAATTTTCATAACTCGAGATCTTGCGAGTAATATTTGGATTTAGGAAAACCCGGACCAAACCGATCCACACTTCTTCTTGAGGCAAAACAAAACACTAACTGTGTAATCATTCAATCTAACTTCAAGGCGAGAAGATTATCATTTACCAAAAGCCTCATAAATCCACCTCTTTTGTAACTTGAGCTCAAGATTACTTCCAATTGTCACATGCATTGATGTCATTTATCATTTTCAGAAAATGTAGTTTCAAATCATTTCCAAATGCTTACAGATACAATTCCTAAAAGGTTATAACACAACTGGTTACTGTATTTATCATGCGGGTATGCCCTCCAAGTGATTTAGAAGTTCCAAATGGTGATATTCCAATCAATACGTATACCTTCACCTATCTCAACAAATCCAAACAATACAATTTCCAAAAGACCGCAAGGCGTTATAAGTCGCTTCATAAATTCCCTTCAAACAATGTTGACCCGAGCGAGAAGAGCCTATTTGTTGACCTGTTTTTGTCTTAATAATGCGGGCACTCCAGTCCTCCTAGGAAGTACTTGAAAGCCTGTGAAAGGAAATTCTACCTATTGTCTGGTTCCAGTTTACCTAGCCAGTTATTGTCCAGTTCCCTTTTTAGTTTTTATAGATACAATTTACCGCTAATGAAAAATAAAATAAAATAAAATAAAATAAAATAAAATAAAATAAAATAAAATAAAATAAAATAAAATAAAATAAAATAAAATAAAATAAAATAAAGGAATTTATTGAAGCATTACATTAGTACACATGAAATATATATAAAAACTATGAACACTTGAGTTCAGCTCGCCTCTTGCACCAATTTTCATTTTCATGTTAATTTTTCCTATTCTTCCACAACCACATTGAAACCTTCAATTGCTTTTAGGATCCATTGATGCACAATCTCCATTTCTTTTCCACTTTTAGATATCTAATACTGAAGTTTCAACTCAGGAATTCGTGTGGTAAGTGGTAACATCAATTGGTATAATAAAGACAGACCCAGGTGGAAAGCCAAATTAGTGCTTCCTCTCTGAGTACATCAGGTGAAACTACCAGCTCCTGTACATCCCCTCTTCATCTTCTACATTGATCAATCAGAACTAAAACTGTAAAAATAAAACAAATTACCGCCGGAAGTCAGCTTGAACTGGTCTGGTGAGTGCTCTCACAAAGTAGGAGCGAGTCTCGGGTAAAATACGTTGAATCAGAGGTGAGTACCTGCAAAATAAGGTAAAATTGCTCTGTAAAAGTTCGTGAATGTTCTAATTTTTGCTGTTCTAGAATAGGAAAGTTCACATAACCTACATACCAATGCATGACGTTAAGTTTGTCAAAGTTCTCCAAGACAAAAAGAATGCAAGCGTTTCTTAATGTTGTGGCGCTAAAAGCCTCGGACAACTCGAACATCATAGAAACATTTTCTACTGAAATATCCTATAAAGTTCATATAATGTAATTGTCAAATACATTACAGCAAAGAATCCATTTCCTTCTTCCCGTACAAGAAAATCGTGAAATACCTGTGCAATTGTATATTCGCATAGACGTTTTAGGCCATCAAGCAGATATTGATCAGCTGCTCTTAGAAGGTCCTGAGAAATTTCCAAATTAACATCAACAGACCCTGTGTATATGTACCTGCAAATAAGGAAAGTCACTTTTAAGGAAATGAATTATTTTTGCTAACTCTATCATACAAAAAAAATTAACCTCATCATCAACTCAAAAACATCCCATCTGATATTTGGGATCTCAATGTCTTTGGCATCTCTCTCCTGGATTATAACAAGGAAACATATTATACAGCACTAGTTATAAAACCCTTCAAGTCACTGACAAAAAAATGTTAATAAAAAACATGCAACACTTTAAATACTCCTAAACTATCTCACCCTGTAACCACCATCAAACATTGCCCGGAATGCA